TATACTCTATACACCGACATACATTATATGTATAATTTATATTATTTATGTAAATAATTATATGGCACATTTCAGTTATATATTACATTTATAATATAAAACTATATTGTACAGTATGTGTTTGGATACATATATATCATATCCACTTTCCGGCAGAGAAGGGCATGAGACATAGAGAGTAAAGGTTGATATATTTGTACCACTCGTTTCTTCTAAAGCCTGTTAAATTGCTGATTTCTTCCTGACACTTTCTATTTGTGGAAGCCTGTGGACACTGGGGCAGGAGTCGGGTTAGCGACACTAGCTCACCTTCGAGCCTGGTTTTGATGGTGTCTCTTGCATTCTCTTCGCTTCTGGGGAGCCAATGGCAGCCAGTGGCCGGAGGCCTGGGCAAGCCACTCAGGAGACCAAGACCCCATTGGAGGGATGAGGCAAACATGCCTTCTTCCCGCCTCACCGTCTGGAGCTACACCTTGTATTATCTAGAGAAAAGGGGAAAGGCTGGGTGGAAACCATGTGTGGCCTCCATGCTGTGGCGTCTGCCCTTGGAAAGACCAGTCACTGGAGCAACCGTGCTGGGCTGTGTGCCGTGCCCCCGGGTGGCCTCCGCTGCAGTCAAGGGTTACTCGTCCCACGTCTGGGGTGCGCCAGGCACGGGCTGTGCTCGGTGCCGGGAGCCGGGTAAGCCGAGTCAGAAAGACGGGTCCTGGGCACCAAGGGGCTGAAGGAAACCAAGGTAACATGAAGCAATTCTACAACACATTAAGGGTTAGTGACCCGTGCTCACAAGCTACAGTTCCCCTCTCACACCTTATACACACACACACACGGTCTACTTCCTTTGCATTCAGTGGAAATACCTTCTTTATCTATTTAAGATCTGGCATCTTTTTTTGCAGCATTATCTTAATTTATAAAATGCTAACAAACACATTCAACCAGATGTCTGAGTTGGTAAGATTAAATTCCTATTTTAAGGGTTTTTTGTATCTCTGCTCTGTTTCCTGAAAATTCTAACAGGGAACCTAAAACTTGGCTATCAAGAACATGGCAATATAATGCAGGAAGAATTTAAAGGTACATTCCTCCATTTATCAGTAGTAGCACATACCCTCCTTACTTCTGGAGACTTAATCCTTTGGAATCTCTCTCTTTTTAAGAATTAAATTAACAAGACTGACCTTCTTAGCCATGGGGTTAGGCAGAGAAGAGTCTGCTTATTTAACTTCCTATAAGCAACTAGATTAACTTTTACTTTTTGAGGCTACTGTGGAAATCGTCTCCCCCAGGAAGTTTGCTCTTTGTAACTTTATTATGTCCCTTTACTTGAAGTCTTATTTACAGACCATCCTCTGAACTCACAGACCTAGCTAAAGGGATCTTAAGATGATCTGCACAATTTTAGGATTCAAATATTTCAAAATTAATTTACTGAGATATGAAATTTATTGGTGGCTGGAAAACTAAATGACCTATAGCTCATTAAGCATAGTCGATATATTTGTACCATTTCTTCTTCTGAGATGATTAAGCTCTTAATCTTTCTCTTGGCATTTTCTGTTTTCCAACGCTTGGGAAAATTGGGGCAGGAATAGGTTTATTTCATTTGGTTGGTCTTAGAACCTGGTTTTCATTAATATTAAAAAAAATTCTTTTAAGTTCAGAGTTTAACCAGAATTTTAAAATATTATTACTTATTTGTTCCCATCACATAATACTTTAAGGTTTTAAGTAGATTTAAGTTTTAGAGATACTCAGAAATATTTTGTAGATCAATGCAGATTTAAGCAGGAGCTGTGACTCTTCTAAGTGTAACTAAAAATAACACTGTAAAAAAGAAAACTAAGGGGGTTGCCTGGGTGGCTCATTGGGTTCAGCCTCTGCCTTGGGCTCAGGTCATGATCTCAGGGTCCTGGGATCGAGCCCCGCATCGGGCTCTCTGCTCAGTGGGGAGCCTGCTTCCTCCTCTCTCTCTGCCTCTCTGCCTACTTGTGATCTCTGTCTGTCAAATAAATAAAATCTTTAAAGAAAAAAAAGAGGAAGCTATTAGTCAAATATCAGGTGAAAAATAAATCTTAAAACAGACTTATAGATGACACAGATTTTCTTTTTCAGCCTTGCCCAGCTTTGCTCCCCTTCAGCCTCATCGCTGGTCTCACATCTTGGTTTCTCTACGAGCTGAAGTAAAGGATAAATCCTGCACGAATTTATTTTTCTACAGCATTTCTTGAGTAGCAGTTAAGTCTGATTTCTTAAGTGTATCAGAACTCAGCAGTACACTGAAAATGGAAGATAGTGTCCGATTATTTTTATAATGTGGTATTAGAATTAACACAGAGATCAGTGTATTACCTTGAGGTCTTGAACAATGACAGTTAGTAGGACAATGTCAGCCTGAACGTCTTCATGGCCTGAACGTATCCGGCTTCTCCAGGAGTTAGGAATCCTAGGTATTCCGTGGATTTCGGGTGGCTTTTTTTTTTTTTTTTTTTTAAAGATTTTATTTATTTATTTGAGAGAGAGGCAGTGAGAGAGAGCATGAGTGAGGAGAAGGTCAGAGGCAGAAGCAGACTCCCCATGGAGCTGGGAGCCCGATGTGGGACTCGATCCCGGGACTCCGGGATCATGACCTGAGCCGAAAGCAGTCGTCCAACCAACTGAGCCACCCAGGCGTCCCTTTCGGGTGGCTTTTAAACCTTTGTCGGTAAAGCAGTGCTGGTCGCGATCTACTAGGACTTGCAGCTTGGATATTAACATGCCACTCCCACGTAATACAAGTGGGGACCTCTAAGGAGACTCGTGAAAACGATGATAATTAACATGAAGAGCCTTCTGTGTGTTCCGCGCCACACCGCAGGCCTTCTGAGCCTGCCGGATGTGTTTTATCTCAAAGGGCAGCTCATACTCAATTTCTAGCAACGCCGGATTCTGTCCAGCAGGACCCTGCGTACTTACTTTGGACACCAAGTGTCCTCGCCAGCCCTGCGGCTGCGTCATCCTGCAGGAGGAGAGAGGGTCCGGGTAAGGGCCTCGTCAGGAGTCAAGCCCCGACGGCGAGGCTGACAGCACGGGCGCGCATGCCATCTGGCCAGGCGGTGCTGAGCCCTGGGGACACCACGACGGTCACTACAGACACGTAACGGAACAAACAGGAAGGCCGACGTGCGTCTGTCACGAAGCCCCGAACTCCGCGGCCCAAAGGCAGGGGTGCCAGGACACGGAGACGCCGTCTGCGCGCGTCACCACCGAGGTCACCGCTGTCTGGTCTCGAGGCCGCAGAGCACACGGCTGCGGGACTCCCTCCGCCGCGGGCCCGAGCTGAAGGGCCTCCTCCGGCAGCCGCGCTGCAGAACGCCCTGGACGGGAAGGCTGAGGACAGCCCCGCAGAGGACCCCAGGGTCTTCCCACAGGAGAAGAGACCCGCCGGGCGGGGACAGAAGTTCCCTGCAGCCTGGGACACAGGAGGGACAGAAGGAAGAGGCTCCGTCAAAGGTAACTCAGACTCCCATTCCTGAGCTGCGGCGTCTCGGAGGCCAAGGCTTTGGGTCCAGCGCGTCGCGGATCCAGGAAGAGCCCAGGGTCACCGGCCTGAGCGCGGCGCCGAGGGAAGGGTCTGCGGAGCGTGTTCCGAGGCCAAAGCGGGTTTTGGGAGGAGGGGAGCTGCGGCCGCGGCAGGGAGACCGATGAGACCAACACGCGGTCGCTCTGGAAGACCTGCCGCTGAGACGCGCTCGAGGCCTGCGCGCCGCGGGAGTGTGCGGGGGCGGCCCAGGGGCGCGAGCGCTCCCCTCTCGGGACCCCGCGGGACACTGGGTGTGCGACGAGCGGCGGCTGCCGTCGCAGACACTGAGCGCGCCGGGCGCCCCGGCCGCACGCAGGACACGCGGGGACGCAGCAAGGGCTCCAAGAGCGCGGGCCGCGCAGCGGGGGAGCCCGGGGCACCCCACCTGCGAGGCACCCAGCGCGCCGGGTCCCCGTCCTCAGAGGGCAGCTCCGGAAGGCGCGCTGGGACTGGACTCCGGCGACAAGGGCATCACCGGGAAGGACACATCAGTGACCCCCACACCCCCGCGGGGACCCGGGCGGGCTGAGAAGGAGGCAGAGCCGCCGAGGCCGGTCCCCACCGCGGTCCGCGCTCGCCCACGCCCACGCCCGCGCCCACGAGGATTTCTGCCCGCGCTCTTCTGCCCCCGGCCCTCGGCCGCCCGCACCCAGCCCCCGCCAGGCTCCGCGCGCCCGAGCCCAGCCCCGCCCGGCCCCAGCACCCCGCAGACCCAGCACGGCCGGACCCCGCCCCGCCGGCCGCGACCCAGCACCTTCCGAACCCGGCGGCGTCCGAGCCCCGCCCCCCGCCGGAGCCCCGCCCCCGGCCCTGGCGCGGGAGGTGAGGCGCCCCGCGCGCGGAGGCCTGCCGGCAGCCGGCGCAGCAGCACCTAGCGGAGGCCGCCCG